GACATGACTACGAATAACTGATGATTTATTAGATTTATAATTTTTGGGTGAACTGATGGCCATTAGGGGTCAATTCCTGACTTATTTTTGGTTGATTTAAGAGATGCATGGCAGTATGGATTTTTTTTGTCTTGTTTTCCAGTACAACTGTCAAAACATTCTTAAATCAAGATACACTTACTGAAAAGAAAAATGATTCAATATACTAAGTATGTTTTTCTGAACAAACGATTGAATTAATGATTATAAGAAGAAAAAAAAAAGAAACCATAATCTTGTTTTTCCTGTTTAAGTTTATTTTTCTTAGCCCACTGAAAAAAAAGTTGTTTATTGTGTCTTGTTTGAAGCATGAACTCACTTAATTTTAATACATTTTGGCCTGGTTTCACAGACAGGGCTTAGATTAAGCCAGGATTAGGCTATAGTTCAATTAGGGCATTTACGTAGTTTTTATAAACATACCTTGGGAAAAAAAATAAAAATACTGGTGTGCATCTTGAGACAAAACAATAGCACTGACATATTTTAAGATATGTCAGTGCAAGTTTTTTTTTTTTCAGTTGAAACAGCTCAGACATGGGACTACGCTTAAGCCTTTTCTGTGAAAACCGGGGGTTAAAGTTTTAAACACGACATAATATCCTAAGTAATTTTGTTTGTCAAGCAAATGTATCTTCATTTAAGAATGTTTTGACAGTTGTACTGGAAAACAAGACAAAAATACTCAGTAATAATTAATGAGTAAATGCTTTTTTTTTTGTATTTGAACCTTTAATCTACAGCAGGCCTAGTCAACTCCGGTCCTAGAGGGCCAGTGATCTGCATAGTTTACTTCCAGCCCTTATCCAACACACCTGTTCATCATTTTTAAATAGTCCTGAATACTTTGATTAGCTTTGATCAGGTGTGTTTTATTAAGGTTGGAAATAAACTCTACAGGAACCGGCCCTCCAGGAGCCGAGTTGAAGAGCCCTGATCTACAGTGTTAGAACAAAGCATGCACCTTTCAGAAAAGTTCTTCTATCTGATGATTGACATTTTTTGACACAAGTGAAAACAATAAAACACGTCAAATAAACATCTGTCAGAAGTGTGCATCTACAGCGTCATTGTATTTGTTCGTATTATGTACCATTGGTCTTTTAGACCACAAGAATTAAAATATATTTTTTTTACAAGGTTTTCAGACCCCAAACAGAATGTAAGATGAGTTATGAGCTCTTGAAGAAGTCAAGAATCAATGGGAATCAGCGTCCTTTCTTAATATCAGATTTGTTATTGTATAATCACAGGAAAAAACAGGTCAATAAAGGCAACACATACAGCTGTACTGATATTACCACTAGAACTGTCTAATAATTCAGGTCCAACTATTTGATTATGTTTTGATAAGTACTGTGCCATTGATCTGTTTTTATTTCAGTGTTTTATTCTCTGATTCCAGTCAGTATTTATTACAGCAGGTACTGTTTAGAGTTTACCACAGTGATAATGGACAGATTAAGCCACACTGCCATTAAATTCAAAATATTGCATTCAGTGACTTAAATGGCTCCGTGTTTGGTTCTGCTGTTGTCTTTCTAGATATTAATTGTTCAGCAGTTGTTTTCTTTCTATCAATTAGTGCATATTTCTTAAACAAAATTTACTCACCCTCAGGCAATCCAAGATGTAGATCAGTTTGTTTCTTCATCAGATTTGGAGAAAATGTAGCATTCCATCACTTGCTCACCAATGGATGCTCTGCAGTGAATGGGTGCCGTCAGAATGAGAGTCCAAACAGCTGATAAAAACATCACAATAATCCACACCACTCCAGTCCATCAGTTAACATCTTGTGAAATGAAAAGCTGTGTGTTTGAGAGAAACAAATCCATCGAGACATTTTTAACTTCAAACCTTTGCATCCAACTGAAAATACAAGTCTGTGATCCATAATAATTCCTTCAGTGAAAAGTTGTCTAATCTGAATCAGGAGAGAAATAAGCACAGATCAAGCACTATTTACACAACACAAGCCAAAACAGATCTGAATAAATATGTGTGTGGATTTTGATGTGAAATGATAACAGGGGATGGACTTTTTCACTGGAGGAAGTGTTATTATGGATTATGGAAATGTGCCTTTGTTCTTCACAAGATATTAATTGATGGACTGGAGTGGTGTGGATTACTTGTGGATTATTGTGCTTTTTTAGCAGCTGCTTGAGTGTTTTTTTTTTTTTAATAAAGAAACAAACTCATCTACATATTCAATGGTCAGAGGGTGAGTACATTTTCAGCAATATATATATATATTTATTTGGGGTGAAATATTATTTTAAAATAGATTTCATAAATGTAAAAAAACAGAATATAAGAATCAAAATTGTATTGACATTTGCATATACACTAATAATATACAATTATATAAAATTATATTATATATATATAATAAAACAAATAAACATTTTCATAGTAATAAAAAGAGTTCATGGTCAGCTTGACTGACTTTGTTTTGTAATGTATGAACATAATTGAAACGATTTACAATTTTTTATAAAACTTTAATAAATAAATTCTATATTAAAAATAAAATACACAACAGATCACTATACATTCAGATCTGCTCTTAGTATATATACCAGTCAGCATTTGAAGTTGATCAAAACCTTTCATCAAAGTTGTCCTAAAACCAAAACCAAAATGTGTTCTTGACTTAGGACAACTTTTATGTTACTTATGTAACTTATATATATACACACACACACACACACTCTAAAAAATGCTGGGTTAAAAAGGGACAACCCCAGCTATTGGGTTGTTTTGACTCAAAATAACCCAACTGCTGGGTCAAAACAACCCAATAGCTGGGTTTGTATCTTTTTAACCCAGCATATATATATATATATATATATACACACACACACACACACTGAAAACAGATCTGAATGTATAGTCTAGAAAACAAGGTTTATATATAACATAAACCTTGTTAAATGTTGTTTTGCTTTAAACAAAGGAAAATAATTAACCCTAATGACAGATGTAACATCTGAAAACAAGTCTTAATATGCAAATGTGATGAATATAATATTTTAGGCATGTTTAGCCAACACAATACAATTATGAAGCATACGACAATTATGAAGTATTAACCAAGATTGTATTACATGTACTCTGTGTCATGGAATTTAGTGTAACTGAAGGTTTCCTCTAAGGATCATTCGGTTGACCTGACCGCTGTGACCCGTGTCATTCTTCTGCTCTGTCTGGACTACGGAAAAAAAAAAGTGGTCTCAGCACTGCAATGTGACAAAACTGAGACAAATATTTAACATTGGTTTGGCCCCGTTTAATGGTAGGTAGCAATTTTCTGCTGTCTGCGTGTTCGTTTACACCAAACAAACAGAGAACAAAAGCTCGTGTGGCATTCCACACCAGCTCTGTCTCCACACTTCACACAGATGGTCTGCCATACAAAGGTGGACCACCTCAAAGAACTGAGGAAATAAACTCTCCAACAATTTCATGCAGAATAGCACAAATTCCTGGTCTTTGTGCTTCTCCATCCCGTTCTCGTCGTCATATTTTCTTTTTCCTCTCTTTTAGAGGGGTGCGTGCAAACTGTACAGTGATAAAGTCACACTTTACAGTGTGTTTTACATGATAAAGTACTGCTAATATATTCCAATTAAACACATGTGCATAAGGGGTTACGCTTGTGATTGATTTATTGTAATTATTAATATTAACATGCACTGAAAAAAAATCTGTTATAGAAGTGGCTTTCACCCAGAAATGTATAGTAAATGTCACATTTAATTTCAAAGCAACGGCGAGTAACACATTGCATTAAATGTGATGTTTTAAAGTATTTTGTCACATTAATACATATTAATAACACATTCATATATCTTGAATACAATTGAATTTGGTGGCAACTTTTTTTCCAGATTAAAACTAACTAACTAACTAACTAACTAAATGATAAATACATTTTCATAGCTGCAGTGTACAATAATACGAATAAGTTAACAAACCACAAAGAAAACACAAATATTACAACAGCAGGAACAAGTGAATCAGTCTGAATTTGGGCACTTCTCTTGTGCAGTGAAAACTTTCAAATGAATGAAATGGTTTGAACTGTAGCCACTAGAGGGATTCACACACACACACACTCACTCACTCACACACACACACACCTTCTCAACTCTGGAAACACTATCCAACACTTGGAGGAGCATGTGTGGAAAATGCCCCTGCCGCCAGTGCTTTACCTGTGACTTCAGCACAACACGAGAGGAGGGTCGGAAGGAGAACAACTCATGTAGGACTGAAACATGGGCTGGTCTGCTTCCATCACATTCACACTCTTAAAAGACTGAAGGATCTCCAGCGGAGCTCACAGCATACACGAGGATCTGCGATGCTCTGGACACCTCCGAACCTCCTGCAGACCATCTCAATCACTCCAACTTCTAACGCCTAGACAACTTCAGCACAAACAGCATCTGGATGTGCTCCATCCTCAGATATGACAGCCCGTCTTGTTTGGACGTGTTCTGTATTCATGAATTGTTCTTAAACATTGTTTCGCGTGTAGAGAAAGACAGAAGTACAGTGAGTGTGAATGAAGCTCTTCATTCATTGATTACTGATCGAATCAATGAATTAAGCCGCGATCTCGTCAGAAGACTCACTTTTTGCCTCCAGAAGGAGTAAAAAGAAAGAAAAAAACTTCAGCAAACAGACCGGCTCGTATAGTGAAATAAAGAGCTTCATGGATTTGCATATCTGGAACATTCGTCTTTGACAAACGATTGTGAAAGACGAGGAAAAGACAAGAAAACAACAATAACAAGTGGAAGGACTTTGGAGAGGAAGAGCGCGTCCGTGCGCATTTCTCTGGGACATTATCATACCCATCCGCATCATCATCATCTCTCTTGTGTTGAATAAAATGAAAGTTTGGAGTTTTATCCAATGTCTCGCCATCCTGCTCGTCCTGTGTGTAGGATCAGACTGCGGGACGGTCCTGAGAAAGACCCGATCCAAACGCGAGCTTGTGAAGATCAGAGAAGCCAAAGCGGTCTTCCCGGGGGCTTGTGCCACCCGGCTGCCCCGGGGCAAGCGCTCCCTGCCGGCGCTGGACCGCCGGCTTCCCCGCCAGCGCCGCCGCTCCTCTCCGGTGGAGGATGCGAGCTCTTCTCGGGGAAAAGCCGTTTATTTTACGGGCAGAGGGGACCAGCTGAGACTCAAGCCCGGTGTGGAGATACCAAAGGGCAATTTCACCCTCCAGATGTGGGTCAAAGCGGAGGGTGGGCAGCATTCCTCTACCATTATAGCTGGTAGGAACATATTTATGCATTTTACGTGAGTTTGTGTGCGATGAATTTTGGTGAGAGAGTAATGCATGTGAATTGTGAAGCTTGACCAGGTGGCTTTAGCGGTGCTAGGATACAGCACCCATTATCCATCAATCAGTTACAGTGTCGAATGATTAAGTAATCGCGTGCGTACAGCGCGGAGACTCCACACACTTTAATTCATTTCTGATATTAGCTTTTGGGTTTAAGTGACAGGGAAATGACGACTTCATTGGTCTAAATGTAGTCTATCCAAAAGCTCAGGTTTGCCGTTTCAGCTCTGATCTCAAGAGAGCGAGCGGGACAGGACTTTCCCCTCCCCAAGTCTTTGCGCGTTTGGAGAGGCACGCGGTTTACACGTACGACCCTCGAATCCCCGAAAGACCCCAAATCCCCCACTTCCATTCAACTCGGAGGAAAACACAGGAGAAAAGTAAAGCTGTTCTGAGCTTTGCAGATGTCTGAACTGCGGCTACACACGTTACCAAATCGCATCACTTTGAAATTGCGTTCTCCTCCGGTACCTGCAGACACCAGAAAGCACAGATCTGAGTTTGCAAACGCCACCACAGATCTGTAGAGGTCTTTTTTTCTTTTTCTTTTCTTTCAGTGAGTAAGCATTACAACATAGTTTTCGATTCCGCTTTCTGCCGACAGAGAGCGTAAAAGACAGGACAAGTCGGTCTTTTTTGAAAGTCATGATCAGGAAAAAATAAAAAATAAATAAAATGCTGGCTGCGAGAAGTGTGTTCTTCTACGCAGTCACGCACTACTAGACAGACCGGAGTGAGAATCCACTACTGATGCGGCAGTGGGCATCACTGATTTACGCGTGGCATCTGATGTGAGTGCGACCCTCAAACCCTCCAGTAACTGAGATGACATCATCTGTTTCAGGCTTGCAGTGGTTTTGCACTGGACCAAATGCCTGACCAGCATTACGGAGATGAACAGTATAAAATCTCCCACACACACAGCCAATGGATCCATTTAATGCATGCATGATTATGCTGTATATGGATATGATCAATATTTTATATTGTGGGGCCCAGAAATCTGATATCACATTCAATAATACTTTTATGTAAATGAGGAGTTAAAGTTAGGGAAAAAAGTTATGATATTATTGCTGTAAGAAAACAAATCTGTAGAAAGACTGATAATGTCCAAGCAGAAAATGAACTACAAAATGCAATGCATAATCCAGGTAAAGTCAATATGGAGAATTCCTTCACATCGCTGAGATTGTGACTGCAGTATGTAAGATAGATTTGAATGAGTGCTCTATAAACCATCAACATTATTTATGGTCTTGATTTGGCAGTTGAAGAAGAACCTGAGACAGACATCATCAGACAGCAGATTAGACATCTTGTTTAGATAGTTGATTTAGCTTTGGAAACAGTACAGGGGAAAAAAACACACTGTCTTGATTTCAACAAAACCTTATGTTGAATTTGATCAGATGATTAATACTGTCCATCTGGTTCAAGAGTGCGTTCAACACGTTAGACTGAAGTGAGAGCATGAAAAAGTGCTTATTGGACACTGATCTTCCATTATGATGAAAAATTGACATACACAGCAGATCTGATCTGAGATACAGAATGCAAGCTTAGGTGACAATGAGGGAAGGACATTTAGGTTTCATGATGCTTAAAACATGGCTTGACCAAGACAGCATACTTTACTGTGTTATTGTGTAAACTTGAGTAAAGTATTTTTTTTCCTCCAAATTCCCCAACCTGAGATAATATGTAAGTGCGCAATTTCCTCTATAGATTTAAAGCTGCACCTACCAAACAGTCGTTCAGCCTTTTCTGACTTGGTGTTCTAGTGATATTTTTGTCACTGATTGTACTGGCCCAAATATTACATAGAATTTAATTTTTACTTGGAAAAAAGGAGGGTCTTTTTAAATTTCACTGCCTCCTCCTACCTCTCCCCTCCTAATATTCATATCAATTAATTAATTGATTAATTAATTAATTAATTAATTAATTAATGCTTTTGTACAGCTATGCCTATGAAGCAGTATAATTTCACTGATATTGCCAAAATTTTAATTAATGCCTTTTTTAACAAAAGCAGTATACCGTTTTATGTAAAATACCAGGTGTGTGTCACGCTCTTGGACTACCCCTGTGTTCTTGTGATGTGCTCCGTGACCCAGTTTCTCCCATGTTGATTGTGTTTATTGATTTCAGGTGTTTCTCATTTAGTCCCTCGTTAGTCACGTATTTAAAGAATGTTCTGTTCCTTGGTTCCTTTGTCCGGTGTCTAACATCAAACCCCTGTGCTACGTGTGTGTTCCTGCTATTGAGTCTTTATTTGGATGAATCAAGATTGTCCCTTGTGTTATTATCCGTCGTCTCCGTGCTCCTCATTCCTACACAGTAGGCATATCGTGACAGAACACCGGACCTGCAAACAGTAAGCGGTGCCCCTTCTCACTGTTTCTGTTTTTGAAAGTTTTGTTTTCCGTTGCTTGCGGTTATGGAAACCGCTGCGAAACCACTGCCCTAGCCTGTAAGGACCTTCCTTTTGCCAATTGCCATCACCCCATTGACCTCCCAGACACCACTGGACTAGGGATCCTCCGGTGTCTGGAGAGCATCCGGCCCTGAACCAGAACCACTCCGCAGTCAAGTCCGCCGACCGCTCCATTGTCAAGTCAGCCGGCCGCTCTGTTGTCAAGCCCGCCGGCCACTGCACTCTCACACCCGCCAGCTGCTGCACTCACAAGCCCACCGGCCGCTCAGCAGTCAAGCCCGCCGGTCGCTGCACTCTCTAGCCTGCCGGCCGCTCCGAAGACAAGCCCACCGGCTGTTCCATTGTCAAGTCCGTCAGCCGCTCCACTGTCAAGCCCCCCGGCCAATTCACTCCCAAGCCCTCAGCTGACAGCATCTGTCTCCCTCACCTTAAACCAAAGGAGGAATCTGAGGAGGAAAAGACTGATAGCTCCAGCCCCTGAGTCTACGCCAGTGTTGGCTCTAGCCCCTGAGTCTACTCCAGTGTCGGCTCCAGCCCCTGAGCCCGCTCCAGTGTCGGCTCCAGCCCCTGAACCCGCTCCAGTGTCGGCTCCAGCCCCTGAGTCCGCTCCAGTGTCGGCTCCAGCCCCAGAGTCAAACCCAGAGAGGGCAGCCCAGAAAGAGACTCTGTTCCCCAGTCCAGCCCAGAGAGGGCTCCTGTTCCCAAGTTAAGCCCCGAGAAGGCTCCTGTTCCCAAGTTAAGACCAGAGAGGGCTGTGGTTCCCGAGAGGGCTCCTACATCCAGCCCAGAGAGGGCTCCTGTTCCCATGGGGGAGAGGGCCACTGCTCCTACGTCAGGTCCACGGAGGGCCTCAGAACCCGAAATTTTCCCCAAGGAAATTTTTTTTGGGGGTGGGGGGCTATAGGTCTCCGGCAGTAGAGGCCGGGATGAATGCCAAGGTCACGGAGGTCGCTTCGCCATGGCCCCCTGAACTGTCTGCTCTGCCATGGCCCCCAGAACTGTCTACTCCGCCATGGCCCCCTGAACTGTCTGCTCCGCCATGGCTTCCCGAGCTGCCCGCTCCACCATGGCTTCAGAGTCTGCTTGCTCCACCATGGCTCCCTAGTCTGGCTGCTCCGCCATGGCTCCCTAGTCTGCCTGCTCTGCCATGGCCCCTTGAACTGCCTGATCCACCATGGGTCCCGGAACGGGTTCTGCCCTGGAGGCTAACCGTCCCATGTAAGCCTGTCCCTAGAAGCCTCCAGAACGCCCACCCCCCCTCCCTGTTGGAAGTTGTGAGGCACGTGGACGCACCTTCCGGGAGGGGGAGGTAATGTCACGCCCTTGGACTGCCCCTGTGTTCTTGTGATGTGCTCCGTGACCCAGTTTCTCCCATGTTGATTGTGTTTATTGATTTCAGGTGTTTCTCGTTTAGTCCCTCGTTAGTCATGTATTTAAAGAATGTTCCGTTCCTTTGTCCGGTATCTAACATCAAACCCCTGTGCAACGTGTGTGTTCCTGCTATTGAGTCTTTATTTGGATGAATAAAGATTGTTTCTTGTGTTATTCTCCGTCGTCTTCGCGCTCCTCATTCCTACACAATAGGCACAGCGTGACAGTGTGTGGATGGTGGAATACCCCTAAGCCCTTGTGCTTGTTTAATTTGATATGTGTGGTGAGCTGAATATTATTTTTTGAGAATTTAGGAATGGCTAACTAAAAAAGTAATCACTATATAAAACCAAAGAACTGTGACAATGAACAAACACTTTTAGATAAAAAGTGAAGTCTGGACATTACAAAAATAGAAAAAAAACTAAACTAAACAACATAAAATAAAAAAATTGTAAAGGAATGCAAGTGAACTAGCATACTGATCCTATTATTTGGCATTAAAAAAATAATTAAAATAAAAAATAAAACATAATAATAAAAACTTATTGTTGGGTGCATTCTTGTAGGCTATCTAGTGCGCCTTGTTCAGTGGTGCCTATATGAAGGCTCATGCCGTTTCCCGATCCTATCCCTTCCCCTTATAGTTTGTTGTTTACTTTCCAAAGCAAATTTTAGAGTATTGTTTCTTGACTTGTTGTTCATTATGCTTTTGGATTTCTCTCCTGACTCATTTGTTCTCGTTTTCAACCACAGGTCTCTTCGACAAATGCTTCTACGCCTCCAGTGATCGTGGATGGCTGTTGGGAATTAAAGCTGTGAGTGAACAGGGAAACCGTGACCCGCGTTTCTTCTTCTCTCTTAAAACGGACCGAGCACACAAAGTTACATTCATTCATTCGAATGCCCGCTACTTGCCCAACCACTGGGCCCATGTAGCTGTGACTTACAATGGCTTCTATATGAAGTTATATGTCAATGGTGCTCAGACAGCTGTTAGCAGGGAACAGTCAGGTGATGTCTTCAGCCCACTTACTAAAAAGTGTAAGGTAAGTTTAATTATTTTAGCGTTTCAGAGTTTAACTTTTTACACAATATTCTGGAGACTCACACACAATACGTTTTTTTTTTATTATATATTTTTTCTATTATTAGTTAAAGGTGAAGCGTGTAATTTCTGTGCCTCTAGGTGAACAAAACAGACAAACTCTCGCATGTTTTTTTGACACTTTCAAAGTGAAATGTCAAGTGAGGAGCACTAAAAGCGTGTTCAGCTTTACCTGAAACAAATTAATGTGCAATTGACAACATTTTATTACACGGGTTGTTGTACGTATCACCGCTGTCCAGAAATGAAATGAAAAATGCAGTGCCATCACATTTAAAAATATTGTACCACCTACACTAAACCCTACCCTAAACCTAATCAATAGCGTTATCAAAAGCAAACATGAGATGCGTTTACAGAAGCAGCTATGCATTTTATCCTGCTTCTACAAGTCTTTGATCTCTCTTTTCGTGACTCATATTTTACGGGACTCGTACCCGAGAGCGTTGCATTGCAAGTGCAGTGCTGTACCAGGTAAACTACTGAGCAAGTTTACTATGCCAGAAAAGACATATATGGAGCTCATTATGCGATGCAAATGTCATAATGCATTAGTTTACAAATCTTATACTATGGTAGAAGTCTTTTGAGCTCATAACATAGTATTGTCTACTGGTATAGTACTGGAATAGGAGAAATTATTTTTTTTTTTAGAAAAAAGTTACACTCTTCACCTTTGAAAAAGCTGCCAGATCTTATGTAATACACACACTGTATGCAAAAATGTAAATGTAAATGTAATGGATTGATCTGATTTAAAACTCAAGGTGCTGATGGTGGGTGGAAATGCCTTGAATCATAACTACAGAGGCTCCGTGGAGCGTGTTGGTTTGTGGCGACGGGCACTCTCTCAGAGGCAGATCATAAGGGACATGCATGGACACGAGGACCTGGTTGACCTGGTGATCCGTGAGACATTTGAACACCCAGCACGCAAATGGCTGGCTGTGAAGGATGGCAGCTTCCCAATACCAGATGAGGGTCCTCGTGCAGGGTTGGGGTCTTTAGACACCACCCTGGAGCCTCCAGCTTGCGGTCAGACGGTGTGTGATAACACAGAAGTGGTGCGCAACTACAATCAATTCTGGAGCTTCCGTCACCCCAAAACGGTACGCTATCGTGTTGTAAACGTGTTTGACGACTCTCAGCGCAAACCTACAGTCACAGATCAGCAGATTCACCTGCAACATCAGCATATGAATGAAGCCTTTAGCATGTACAACATCACCTGGAAGTTGACTGTGCACAATGTAAGCAATTCATCTTTGTATAACCGTCTGGTACTCGCCAACTGTGATATTAGTAAGGTGGGTGATGAGGATTGTGACCCTGAATGCAATCACACCCTGACTGGATTTGATGCTGGTTACTGCAAGCCCAGGACGCGATGTCCTGAACATAAACAAGGGAATGGCGTCTGCGATCCAGAGTGCAACTGTGAGAACTATGGATATGATAATGGCGATTGCTGTAACCCAAGCATCACTGATGTGACCAAGACTTGCTTCAATCCAGCTTCTCATTTAAGGTAAGAGCTTAAGATCAGCAAGTCTAAACAGTTGTAGTTTTTAAATACACCTTATCTAGTAGCCTAAGTCTCAGAGTCAGGAGCTGAACCAGGAGTCCTTTCTGTGAGGCGTTTACTACCTGTGTTGTTGTGGGTTTCTTTTTGGTGCTCCAGTTTGCCCCACAATCCAAAGACATGCGGCATAGGTGAATTGAAGACATAAAATTTTCTGTAGGTGTTTCTTTATCCTCAATACCACCACATAGCAAATTGATATCCAAAAATATATCCAACTTTAGCCGCATACATAGAGCTCACTCAGCTAAAGCAATAAATACTACAGAGCAAATCACAACTGATTGTTGATCATTGTGTTTGCCCAGATCTGAACTGTTAAATGTGGACAATTAGGCATTAAGGTATTGTAAACATTAACTGTAAAGCTGCTGAAAAAAGGTGTATTGTAAAAAGCACTATACAAATAAAAGTTACTTGAGTTACTGTAGCTATGGTCCAGTTAGGGGTGGGGTCCGGTTGCCTACATAAGCTGCACTCCTAATCTGGATGTAAGGAACATCAACCTTCCTTGGCTTGGCTTCACATTCGCCAGTCAGCAGAGGATAGTCATGTAACAGTAATCATTCACGTGTAGAAAATATTTGCCAGTTTTAGGTCTTCATTTTTATCTTTGGTATATTATGTTACAACCGGCTCACAATTGCAACATGAACGAGAGCCAACACAGATTGGCAAGTAGTGAAAAAAGCTATTTATTCAATGAAACATCATAATTAACAAAGGTATTCAAACAATCAGTAGTCAGTATTAATGAAAGTCAGTAGTGGAAGCGTGCATGAGAGGGTACTCTAAGCTCAAGGTCTGAAATGGATGCGAACAATTGCTGTCACAGACAGATTTCCAGAGTCTGCGATTAAAAAAAACCCGGATTGCGACCAAATCAGTGCTCGTTGCGGTCGCAGTAGCTCGTTGAGTATGAGCAGTTCAGCAACGTGAACCGAACCTGTCTCGATCTATCATAGACACTCCGACATTTTCAAACCTGTTTGATATTATCGCCACGTGATCTCGTAATGTGAGTGACACAATGACAAGGTGGAACTAATCCAGCCAATCACAGTGCAGATGGTATAAATGGCGAAAGATCGATCAAATTAAACGTACAATGTCTTCAAGGAAGAACGCAAGTGGTCCTCGGTGTGTTTGGACACGTGAACTGGAAAGCAAACTTGTATAGCTTTGGCAAGAACATGACTGTTTATTTGATGTATCAAGAAATGGTCTATAATCGCTGTAATTTCTCATGAGAATTTATGTGAGAAAACATTTCCGCTGATGGTCGGGAACACCTCTTCACCGAATGTGTTGTAGTGTGTGCACCTTGTCAGCATTGTGTTGTGTAGTATGCTCACAGCTATGATAAGACAACGGCAGCTGAGAAGAAACCTTGTTGCGTAGTGATTTGGCTAGTCTTCCAATCATGTAGTGAGTTTGCCATTAGTTGTGCTAGATGAGTAAGACTTCCAAAATTTGCAGTGATGGAGGCGTCCCCGGGACAGATTTGAGAAGGACTGCTCTAGGTAATCTGTAAAGGCAATTGTATTTCATTGCTGATTCTCTCACAACTCTTCAGTTATTGCAGTGGGATCTTTTCTTTTAGCTTTTCATGAGTACTTCAAGAAAAAATGTTTTCATCAAGGCTGTTACTGCCTACTGTGTGGCGATTTGCTCAAAGTTTTAAACAACAGTATTTTCGCCAAAAGAGTAAAAGGAAATTGGATTTCTTAATCTGAGTACCTGAGGCCATTGGATAGAAAGCACAACATGTTTACAATTCCACCAATGGATAAGGTCTGGTTTAACTTTTGGACTCTATGAAAGGTTGCTATATTTGTTTCACAAAAATAGATATAGCCCCAAGGACACACGTGCTGTAGTAATCCTAAATTATGAGATTTGTTTTATGGAGGACTTATTGCCTTAAGAAGTAGATTTTTGGTGGCTTTTGTTTTAGTTTGGCGGACTAGACCGTAAAAGCCAACATTTCAAGGAAGCATATTTGATTCTTGTTTAGACTGGTCTCCAAGCAACAATTTTGTTTTCAAAATGTATTCATAAACGTTTGTTTACAGAAGTGCACGAAGGTTCATGAGAATAGTTTAAACATTCCATGTCGAGAAAAAATAGTGAATGAATTGATAAGTGAAAACAAGGATTTTATTTCTTTGTTTTGTATGATTCATCCCAGTATTCCAGTATTGTCCTTGAATTTCTTCTGCATGCCTTAAATGTGCTTCTCTTTCAAAGGAAAGCAATGTTTTCTATTAGCCATTTTGAACACATTCCAGGCCGCAGAATTGCATCCAATAGTCCTCCTAAAGCTCTTCAAATGACTCCGTGTGCGGGCTCTGAGGTGACATCCGTCACGAAAAACACGCAGGTGGTTTTTCCCAAATATTATCCCGTCGCAATCATCAAGAGGTTGTTTATCACTGGATATCCAATCCAGTAACAGAAATCAGCAGTTGGCCAAACCTGAGCTTTCAATGGAAATATTGCAACTGATGGATGAAAGATGGTTTAGAAAGATTAGAGTGAGAACAGAAGAAGAATTTTCAGATAAGCACCCCAAGTGGTTGTTTATTTTGTTTTGATTATGGGACATCTAGGGAGACATACTGATGGCTGCACCCCAAACATTCATCAACATTCCTTCTTAATTGTGGAATTCTGGATGAACACTCTGCTACATGCGTGGCACAACAATGGCTGTGTGGTCGGACGTTTATTTTTGTAGATCCAGAGCCTGTTACCACTTTGGTTGTTTGGAAATCTAGCTAACAGGAGACATCGGGTTGGAGTCCCTGAAAAATGTGAATGATATCAGCTTATGATGTCTTACATGTTTTAGGCACGTGTTTAAGTTATTCTCCATGCTTTTTGAAGAATGTGTACAGGGTCACATTGTTTTTGCAAGCAAACATCCCATCTGTAAAGAGAGGTTGTGTTTTTACCTTCACAAGATCACTGATCGGATCTGATGGTGTAAACCTTAGACACAGTAGTGGTTAACCCTAAGGCAAAAGTGAAATGCTTGTGTGAATCCTCAACATGTACTCATGCCGTATGCATTAATTCATGCCTTGCTTTGGATGTCTGCCAGTTTTGGGCATGTTATAGATGTGTAATAAGAAAAATGTCTGTCATGGCTTTGGTCCAGAGATTAGTCACATGTGAAAGGCCATACTACGTTATCATCTGCCTCTCTCGCAACATCCATGCTTTTCCATGGGCTATTGTGTGTGATGGGTTAATTGATGAATGGGGTTTCCTGAGGTGTCACATGGGTCACCTCAGGGAGGTCCTTCATCAGGTGCTTTACAGTCGTGTGAGCCCATAAAACTTACAGACGTTAATGTTTTTGCCCTAATGGAGTGCTCTGGTGTAAAACGGTCTAGCACGTTGAGTTACATGCTCATAAAAGCACCTGTCTGTGGAAAGACACTTATATTTGCACACCTGCTTTGGCCTCTTTAATGCGGACCAGACTGGGGAAAGAGAGAACATGGTTGTAATGGATTCATGAGTGATGTTAACAGTTGCTGGACAGCTTCTCCTTTGGCACAGTAGAGAGAGTGCAAATGAAAGATCAAAACTTGTTAGTTCTGATTATTCTTGCATAAATAGAATTTGCATGTACTGATAATTATAGTGACAATTTAAACTTTTAAGGTGAAGGGCCAAGAGCCAATATTTGCATAATCTAAAACAGGACTTCAAATCTTGAATATCACGAAGGATCCGTGGTGTCTCTGTTCAAAACTCCGAATTGCACAAACCGGAATTGTTATTGTAGTAATCACTCTCGTATCAACCACCCATCAGTATACTACATAAGAACAGCTAGACATTGACAGACATTCATAGTTTCGCTTTGAGGTAGCATCTCATCTCATTTCAAAGGAGTAACTATCCTTTTTCATCCTCTGTAGAACAAGTTTTCCAGCAACTTGCACTGGGGGGAATGTAGATTCATGGATTTGTCAAATAAGCAGTGGCTGCCAAATAAATTAAGCCCACTAATATTAAAGTCGATAATCTTGCAGCACTCTATCATGCAACATGACTGTTGGAACAAATAAGTATTTGTTCTGTGTATATTATAAACATTGTGCTCGTTTTAATCAAGTGTCTCCATCTCTTGCTCCAGGGCCTATCTGGATGTGAAGGAGCTAAAAGAGATCCTCAAGCTGGATGGTTCCACGCACCTCAATATCTTCTTCGCCAATTCCTCAGATGAAGACCTGGCTGGAGTTGCTACCTGGCCATGGGATAAGGAGGCACTGACACATCTAGGTATAGAACTTACTGCATAAATGCAGTCCAGGTCAAGAGTCTGAATTGCATTCCTGCAATCATTTAGGTCTTACTCTAGGCGCGTTTCCATTACAGATTTGCGCAAAACTTTGGCGATATTTTATAATTGTCGATAAAAAAGTATTGTGAAATGACTGCGTTTCCATTAACCAATGTTATGAGACTTAAACTTAACATTTTGCCTCTCGCGATAAGTCATGGCAATGGATTTTGGTGGGATTTTGGGTATATTTATTCAAAGGAGGCTTATGCGTGTATCTTTACAGAAGCAGCAAAGAGAGCCGCTTCATAAACGTGCGTGGCATAATAAACCATAGACTGTATAAAAACATAAACACAAGCACTGAATGGCCGCAGTCAGCTTCAGTGACCGTATCAGAGCAACACTGCACTGCAGATGTGTGCAGTGTAAATTGTCTAAGCATTAATAGTAGGGAAAGCCCCTTATACTGGAGCGCGGCCACTTGTGAAGTGTTTCTTGGAGGTTATAGTACATTGAAGAATGATCATATGACTTTTTACATACGCCATGTGACCTGTAAATGCGAAAAAGCCGTTTCCATTGCAGTTTTGCGAATTATTCCTTTTTCGGGCTATATTTATTCAAAGGAGGCTTATGCGTGTATCTTTACAGAAGCAGCAAAGAGAGCCGCTTCATAAACGTGCGTGGCGTAATAAACCATAGACTGTATAAAAACAAACACAAGCACTGAATGGCCGCAGTCAGCTTCAGTGACCGTATCAGAGCCACACTGCACTGCAGACGTGTGCAGTGTAAATTGTCTAAGCATTAATAGTAGGGAAAGCCCCTTATACTGGAGCGCGGCCACTTGTGAAGTGTTTCTTGGAGGTTATAGTACATTGAAGAATGATCATATGACTTTTTACATACGCCATGTGACCTGTAAATGCGAAAAAGCAGTTTCCATTGCAGTTTTGCGAATTATTCCTTTTTCGCATTGCCTGAAAAACCACCTCATGCGAGCGTAAAAACTTTTTTGTGATATATGGCCATTTTTGCGAAATTGACACGTTTCCATTAGACATATTTTCAATTCGCAATTTCAATTTGCGCAATTTGAAGGGTAATGGAAACGTACCTTCTGTCTGACACACTCTGTTCCTTTACCTTCATTCAGTGGTTCCTGTTCTCAAGACCCTTGCTTATTTTCTTAAGGGAAGCGTATCTGATTCAATGAAGTGAAGAGTATGCAAATGAATATGATCAAAATTACAGTACCTTTTAGCTGCATTTACCCTGTAAGACAGTGCACAGATTTTTTGGTTTGGTTTGTTAATTTTTTACTGTCTGATTACAATTACTTGAGAAGCAGTTGTATTGAATAAGAACATGACCGAACATGATATTTTATTGCATGTTCGTGCTCTAGGAGAACCTTCAACAACATCCGATCTGTACCAGATACCAGAGAAAATTTGGATTTGGTTGACAGTTTAAATGCAGATTTTATTCCTCTAATTCTAATTAATAAAAAAGAAGCTTGGGAAACAGCACTCTTTAAAAAAAACTTCAACAATCCTGAATATTTAGTCACACACACATTAGGGTTTACATTGTGTTCTTTTTCCTTCTCTCTTCTTAGGTGGCATCGTTCTGAATCCGTCTTTCTACGGTACATTTGGCCACACTCATACCATGATCCATGAGATCGGTCACAGTCTGGGATTGTACCATGTGTTCAGAGGTATCTCAGAGATCGAGTCCTGCAACGATGCGTGTTTAGAGACCGAGCCGTCACTGGAAACTGGAGATCTGTGTGCCGACACTAACCCCACACCCAAATACAAGCACTGCAGGGACCCTGAGCCTGGCAACGAAACATGTAGCAACCGCAATTTTGTTCACACACCCTTTAATAATTACATGAGTTACGCAGGTAAGAACATTTCTATGGAAACTCTTCTATTCTATTCTAAAATTCAACTTAATCTGGATTGGAAAAGACGGTAAAACTTTAGTTTCGGGACCAATTCTCACTATTAACTAGTTGCTTATTAGCATGCATATTAGCTGTTTATTAGCTGAATGCCTTATTCTACATGACCTTATTTTAGATCCCTTAAACCTACGCTATACCTAAACTTAACTTAACTACCTTACTATTAATAAGCAGCAAATTATGAATTTATTGAGGCAAAAGTCGTAGTTTATAGTTTTGTAGTTGTAGTAAAAATTTTGAAATGGTCAGTTTATTTTACTCTTTGTTTAGATTATAAGCATTCTACAATTATAATTGATATTTTTATTATACATTTTCAGATTTTAAACTATGGAACTCTGGGAAGTTTGAATACATTTGCAAACTTTCTCAACTTTGTTGTTGTTGTTGTTGTTTATACAGCATTATCACATTTTTTTATTTGACTGTATTGTATTAATTTTTTGCTCAACAGTAGCTGTTACTCGTGTCACCTCAGATTGTCCACTGCCAAAAATAAAAATAATTTGATTGATTTCCACATTGATCTTTGACCTTCTCAACAAGCATTCTACAATTATAATTGATATTTTTATTATACATTTTCAGATTTTAAACTATGGAACTCTGGGAAGTTTGAATACATTTGCAAACTTTCTCAACTTTGTTGTTGTTGTTGTTTATACAGCATTATCACATTTTTTTATTTGACTGTATTGTATTAATTTTTTGCTCAACAGTAGCTGTTACTCGTGTCACCTCAGATTGTCCACTGCCAAAAATAAAAATAATTTGATTGATTTCCACATTGATCTTTGACCTTCTCAACATGAATGCTTTTTCATGTGCTATGAATCTGTTAATAACTAGGCCTAATTACTGAACTTACACTCCATTTTTCCCCAGATGATGACTGCACTGATTCATTCACGCTTAACCAGGTGGCTCGCATGCACTGCTACCTGGACCTCATCTACCAGACCTGGCAACCCGAGTACCGGCCCCCTCCAGTCCCCATGGCTCCCCAAGTGGTAGAACAGGAACAAGACTTCATTACTGTTGAGTGGTTTCCGCCCATCTCTGGCCACTTCTATGACAGGTGAACTGAGGTTGCAGTGGCATAGCACATAACCTGGGGACTATTTTTTTTACAAATATATGTGGTAAAATACACAAGCATTTGGAGAGATCCAATCTGATATATTAAAGGTTGTGGAATATAAATGTGGATCTAGGCAGAGAAGAGACATGTCTAAGCATGTTCTGTTTTGTAAATATTGAAAGAGGAGAAGTCAGCGATATTTTGCAATCATTTTTTGAGTACAGTGAGAGGATGGATTGGAGGAAGTGCAAAACAACCAAGAATTCTCAGCGTCTGCCAAATCGCTAACACATGCTATCAATTAATGGCTCTATTTCTAAACTATGTTTAACCGGCTGCATCGCAGATAGAGTGGAATTATTCTCACAGCCTTCCAAAATCCTCGTGTTGGCTCTGGAATATCTGCATTTCATTTTGTCGAACTGAATGCAGTCAGAGATATTTATTTGTGGGCCTGCAGACAGTCCATGAGGGACTGTTATGTGAGAGACAGGTGGAATTCACTGAGGCAAGAGGCAGGGGAATCCCCTCAGAAGGAGCATGTTGAGACATGTTGCTCTCAAACTCTCCACTTGGACCATGTGACATTGTTTACTGTATATCAATATCGCATTCTAACACCGCAGTCAGACTGCTTAAACAGCAACCAGATTTGTCATTGACCTCAGGCAAAAGTGCTTACTGAGTCATTGGAGTTGATTAGGGAATTGTCACACCAGAGCAGTCTTGGGGAGTAACGTTTTTAAACGGTGTGACAGTAGTTTTTCCTATAACAACCTGCTTTTTCCAACAAGTAGTGGTGTAGTACAACATTATTATTTTCAAGGGTTATTAGTTGAGTTTAGTCTAAATGCAGATTCAATTGTATATAAAAAATCTAATTCTATTAAAAAAGTCGATACACTATAAAAAAAAATTATTTTAAATGAATCCTCACCTTGTCAGAGCGTTGTGACCCTGGCTCCTCACACTGATCTTGTCAAAGCGTCCCATCTCTCCTACAACAACACTTGAATTCTTAGCTGAATGAATGCATCTTTAAAATAGATTTTTTTTCATCTATTTTCATTTATTTTTTTTGCCTTTCAGTATGTCTTATACTTGTTTTCAGTGCAACTGTGAACAGCAAAATGAACAGTTAGCTGCTGGTGGGATTTTTTTTAAATTTATTTATTTTTTTCCTTTATAAATAGTCTACACAGCTGTGCTGCTCCAGAATTCGCAGACAGCTGCTTTTATTAATTGTTTGTGAGCGTGGCTGGCATAAAATAGCATCGTGTCAGTTAGTTCGACTCACATCTCACTCTTACTCTGCAAATCAGAGCTTTTTGTGGGATTTTTGGCCTGGTGATATATGGCGTATATGGTTTTTGTGGTCAAGGCTGTTTCAAAAGCATTACGCCCATTGTTTGGTGCCACTCGGGAGACGTTGCATTTCCTTACAGTTAAAACACTTCCCACGGTCAGGACGCAGATTCGTTCATGCCTTTATGGTGAGATGGTGTCTTGCAGTTTTAATTCATATCTCTAGCAGAAGGAAAGACTCATTATCAATCGGAGGAGTGTTTCCTCTTCAAAGACCTGCTTTGATGATAATGAACTCGCGCAGACAGTGATGGATACGGGTCAGAGATTGCTGCTAACCTTATTATCAGACCGCACTTCATTTCAGAACCCATAATTTTCACTAAATGTTCTACAGTTGGAGACAGACCATTCATAATTTCCTTGATATGGCACTCTCCGTTTAGGCAGCACACACACGCACTCTTAAAAATAAACATACAAGCTTTCTCACATAAACATTAATACGTGTCACACTCTGCACTTGTTGCAATGTTACGAAGACATGCCTGGGCTTGCCGCTGCTCCAGCGTGTAAACGGCTCTCTGTTTTCACTCTTGGAATGATGCCCTGTTAATCAGAGTCCCCTCAAGGAGCCCCTCTTACGCCAGTATTCATCCTAAGTGACGTGCCCTGAAGACCCCAGCACAGCTGCTTGGCAATCTGTCTGTTTGTGCTTCTCGGCCAGGGACGGCATTTCAGCGCCCTCGCTCTTCTGCCGCGTCTTCCCGATGGCATTGCCACTCCACCTGCCGGCCGTGGAGTTCACAGGGTTTGTGGCTGATGTCCTTAAGACACTCCTGCTGTTTGTATTTGCAGTAAAGTTAACTCAAATAGTATTTAATCCCAGAGTTAAATTACTGTAAACCTAAATACAGTAGTTTACGACAGGCTTTCAGTGAAGAAAGCTGTGTTGATTGTAGCAGCCCAGGCTCATTGAAAATACATGCTTGTGGCATTGTTTCTGAAACACCAATATTATGTGCCTTGTTTCTCGGCAAGTTAACTATCCAATGAGTGATGCTAAAACTCACGTACTGCGGCATTTTTATTCCAGGGAGTTCAAATGTCCGGGAAGGGTCGCTAAAAGGTTAATTCTCAATTGTGTTGGAAAATAACATGCCCCCTACACCAAACCCAACCCTAAACCTACCGATAGTGTTAACGAAAGCAAAAGTGATATGAGAACACATTTGCTGATGCAACCGCACTATTTTAGCAGTAGTTCCACGAGATTCGTACCTTCGTGCTTCAACTCACAAGTGCAACGTGTATCGTGTGAGCTACCAATGCAAACCTACTGTGTTAGAAAACCCATACATGTGAAGCTGTATATGTGACGCAAATGTTCATGAGTATCAGTTTTAAAACCTCACAGGATGTTAAAATAGTTTTGAAGCTAACATAATATTGTTCAAGGAATTGTGCGAAAGCACTTAAGTAACCCTTTATACACAAAAGGAATGTCTGAGCTTCTGTCTCCCATGGTGATTTATACTGCCAAGCTCCAAAAAACACGTACAACTATTTCATACAGCGTTTACTCCAAGGCTTCTGATGTGATATGATAGCTTTGTGTGATGAACAGTCACATTAAAGTCCTAGCAGCTCTCAAATATCATTTATGGTTGCAGTTTTCAGACTTGCTGTAGTATAATCAGTCACGCAACACTAAGAACCAATAGTGTTTGTTGTCAACTTAGATATGCTACAGGCTAATTTTTGACATCTTTCTTAGACCTCATATCACTCAGTTCAGTAAACTTAACTGAAAGGAACAATTAGAATGACGTCAAAATGGTCAACGACAACAGAGCAGAACAACTAATTTCCTTGTATTTAGTGAACAGTATATTAGCATGGTGCTAATAACATCAAGGTTGTAGGTTCAATTCCCAGGGAATGCATTCAAGGTATACATTTCATAATTTTATGCAATGCAAGTCACTTTGAATAAAACCATCTGCCAAATGTATGCTGATATTTTTATTTTTTTGCAGCTTGAGGGCATAAATCACCTCCTTTCAGTGTATGAAAAACAAAGGCCTTATTCATTAATAATGCTGATAAACATGCTTATAATAATTAGAAACAATTAACGTGCATTGGTGTGGACGCTATATAGTTATCCTTATCGAGCCTAACGAGCCTTTATGCTGGAAGTGTATAAGGACAAAATTGAAAAGAATAATATTCATAAAGAATGGTTTACCCAATGATTAAAAATGGCTTAGTTTGAGCAATGGCTGAGAGACACTATCAGTGTTATTTTAGTATAGTTGAGTTATTATATTTTTTATCAATATTTTGAATTTACTTTTTATTATTTATTTTATATTGTGATTTTGTTTTTTTATTTAAACTTTTAGAAATTTTATTGTGTGTCATTGTTATTAGTAATTTTTTTGTTAATATATCTATATAGTTTTTATTCATTTGTATTTCACTTTCAGTTAGTTATTTTATTGGATCAAGTTGATGAAAATGAGATACAAAGAAAGAAACCAGCCGAAACAAGTTTGTTTTAATATTTCACTTTTTCAATTAACATTTAATTTATTTTATAAGTAACAAAAATGCATCTTTAATGTTTTAGTTTAATAACCCTGGTCACCATCAGCCACAAGGGCTCTAGGGAAGATCAATCTAAATCTATTTGATCATTTATCAGTATCATTTACCCATCTTGATCTCAAAAGTTTTTCACTAGCCGTGTTCCTACATCGCACAGAGGCTCCCCGAAGCAGACCTGTGCTCACAGTTCAATGTACCACAATTACCTTAAGCGGGACGTTTTCAGCCGCACTAACACCAACCCCCCACTTTCCCTTTTTTTCCATGAATGAGCACTTTCCTAGACAAGCTAATACCCCAATGGGATTAGCTAATCAAGTGAAAATGCAAGGCCCTAATTCATGGTTTAATTGTCAGGTCACCTTGAAAACCTGCCCACCCTGCTGTGGCGGCTGAACCCTGACACTAGTACCCAGGGTGCGAACTACGGGGGAGCTAGGGGAAGCTCGGCTCTCCTTAATAAGACATGGGCTCCCCTGAAAACAGGATTTGTGAAATTTTGGGGGGTCTCAAAATATTGACTGTTATTTTGACGTGCAATTTGAGTTTTGTGTAACGTGATCATTGTGGATTATTATGTGTAAAATTGCAAAAATATAATTCATTCATTCATGCATGACGGCTATTTAAACCTAATTCACTTCAATAAAGATAACTATACATGCTATTCTTGTCATGCATTGCAAATTCCACTCATGTTTAGTACATGTTAACTCAAAGATTCATAGCACAAATATAAACGTTGGACTCTGTGGTCGATTCTGTGTTAAGGTAAGGCATGTTATTCGCAATTATGTGTTGTGGCTGGGTTGGTATAGGTCTGCGTGACTCTCGATGTCTTAGGCCTAATTGAACGGAGGAATTATGGTATTCTTCTGTAGCCTGACGACGAGTAACTTTAACCGTTGTTCATGTGAACTCAAAGACAGCCGATGCTTTGTTTATAGACTATTTGTGGGTGGCTGTTTGTTGTTTCACCTATCAATTTGTGTCGATAAAGTATAATAGGGTAAATCCTGTATAGTGATTTATCCTACATAGTGTTATATAAAGCAAGTAGTGCATACACTTGTAGCTGTTATGCATCTTTGTAAGTCATTGTAAGCCCTTGAGGCATGCGCACGAACCCCCCGTTATAAAAAAAACACAAGTGGGCTCCCCCAAAGTCCACGGTATAGTTTGAACGCTGCTAGTACCTCCGGGACAGGGTTAGTAGTCCACCACGGAGTCATTGAGATAAGACAGTTACTCATCTTATGAAATGACTACCTGATGAATTCATTCATTACGGCCGTTTAAGCTCTTTTTTTTAACATGTGTTTGCAAGGAGATATTTTCCCATCTTAAAAAAAAAAAAAGTGCTGTGGCTCCCCAAAAGGCGCGTAAGCGAGGTGAGAACGTAAACATGCAGTATCGAAGACATTTTTATCATATGTTTACTTCTATTCTGGCCACACACATACTCACAATAATAAATGTGTTGAGATGATGTGGTGGACAACCAGAAACTCAGTGCTCAGTTGATTAAACACTGGAATTTTGTGCACTGCCCAGAAATGAGGTTAGCAAATGGCTTTTGCTGTTGCCAGTTTGGAATTGCACAAAGGAAAAGCAGGAGAACACACTGTCTGCAGTGCCCTGGCTTCTCCCCACATTTGATGAATGTCGGGGTACGTCACTCCCCGTCAAATGAGTTGCTGTTGACTCCAAATATAGCTAGACTGCAGCACACGAGAGGTAATTGCCAGGCTGAAATCAAAAGCCTTGTGCGGGCCTCATCATCGGGTCGCTCAGATTTCTGGTTTTTGAGACAGAAACGAGAGAGAATGTGAAGGAGAAATGGTCGGACAAGATGGAATTTAACAACATGCGACTCTATGCATCAAGTGTGTGGCTGCATTTCTCATTATGCGCTACTCCTTTTTCTGCTGTACTTTACAATATATTGTTCCTGCTTCAGTTCATGATACTGCACAGAACTGGGTTACTGGTGTTATTTTAGTGGTGCTATGATGCAGTGTTCCCTGAAATGTGCACTGTAGTCATTCTGTACTTTGCATGAATATTTATAGAATTTATATGAAGTAGTATAGTGTTAACAAAAACTATGACCTAAGATAAGACGAAAACAAGACGACGGCAATATCATTAAACACTAACAGTGACTATATCAACACGTAATATTATTGACGAAAAAAGATGAGACTAAAATGTAGTTTAAAACAATAAAAACTCACTCAATAAAAATGTCAAAAAAAAAGTGTGGTCGAAAAAATATCTACCTACACTGGTTTTAATGCTTGGGGTTGCCAGATGGCACAAGTGCAAATCCCCCATCTTTTCAGTGCTTATAGGTGAAAGTGTTTCAAATGAAAACGGTCATGATCAGTAATCGCGTTTTATATTTTCAAGCAAAATAATTGTCATAATCAGTTTAACCATTATGCAGCATGACTAAAATATTATAACTTGACTAAATTCCCAGACTTTTACTCAATGAAATCATGACTAAACAAAACACAGGATAGGTTGACTAAGTAGTGTTTCGTTAACGAAAAAATATTTGTTGACAACATTTTTTTTTACATGAAAGATGAGACGAAGACAAGACTAAAACAACATCATTAAACGCTAACTATGACTATATCAACATGCAATATTCATACAAAATACATTTTTTTTTTATTTAGTACTGACCTGAATAAGATATTTATCATAAAAGACAAAAAAAAAAAACAGCTGTGGATCATCCAGGTAACAACACATTAAGAATCAAGCATATGTAAACTTTTGAACGGGGTCATTTTTATAAATAATTTTCTTTTGTGGACTATATGTAAATGTATTTTATGTTAAATATCTTATTCAGGTCAGTACTAAATAAAAAAATAAATGCATGCATTTTGTATGATCCCTCTTATTTTGGTAAAATAATTAGCATTTTGCAGATACTGCAAAGTTTATGTACATTTTTTTTTACCACAACTGTATATCCAAAATCTTTAAAAAAATGCCCCAATCAGAGCTTTCGTGCTTTCAGATGAAAGTGTCTCAAACAACAATAATGATCAGTAATTGCCATTATAATTTTGAGAAAATTCATTGTCATTTATTTGTTTAACCATAAGTTTTTTTAGTTTTTTTTTTTTTAGTTCCAAGACTAAAACTTGACTAAATAAAAATAAATAAATACATACATACAAAATAGGATAGGTTGACTAAATTTGATAAAGAAGAAAGGGGACATTTGAAACTTGACAAAATTAACATTTAGTAGTAAGTGATCCTATTTATGAAATTTAAGGCCTGTATTTTGTTTGCAAAAGCTTGGCTTAGGAGCCATAGAGAAAATCTGGTTCATATCCTTTTTTTTTTTTTTTTTGCAAGCCTCAAGTTACTGTAGTTCCCCTTCTACTAGATCACAATAATCGCTTTTTATCTATATTTTAAACAGCTGCCTTTACAGTTGTCCTGTCATGAACTGGTAAAGGAATATCAAAAAGACGACAGCATACCACAAATGAAAACTTTGAAATTCTAACTTTAATGCATTTGATGTATCTCTTAGGACCACCAGATGTAGAGCAGGCATGCGAGCCCAGCGTCCGCACGTGGAGTCCGCATAACGGCATGGATCTAGGAATGGTGCCTCCTCCCTGCCCTCTGCAAGGCTGCATGTTACAGCTGGAGTTTGCATATCCGGTGGTCCCTGACTCCCTCACAGTGTGGGTGACCTTCTCCTCCCAGGAGGAAACCGTTCTGCCTGCCATCCACAATATCATCTTATTGACTGTCGGTGGCAACAACCTGTCTCTGGGTCCCAGCAATTTGTTCTGCGACACACCGCTGACCATCAAGCTGGATGTGCTTGAGAAGGTGTACGGCGTGCAGTTTTTCACCATGGAGCAACATTTGGAAATTGATGCTACTCTGCTCACGTCCAAACCCGACTGTCCGCTGTGTCGAGAATGTGAGCCGCTGCACTATAGGCTCCTGCGGCAGCCGCCATTTGTTCACGCACCCCAGGGCGTCATGCTGAGAGACTCAATGCGAAGATACATGGACAGGTGAGACTTTTGAATAAATAAATAAAATGAATAATGTGCTCTTCAAATTGCTCATTCACACGGTACCTAATGCAATGAATACACTGAACCTTATTGTAAAGATGCTAATACTTCTTTGAAATTTTTTTTTTCGTTGTATTCCAGGTGAATTTTTTTATTGCAATTATGTTTTCAGGCTCTGGCTAGTGTTTAGATACTCTTGCTACCTCTTCCAGAAAAAAAATCGTATTGACTTTGTAACTTGTCTTCGATTTGGATCTGTTTTACCACAGAACAAAACTAACGTAATTCATAGTTGGAGTGCGAAATGTGCCTGGTCAGCATTAGGCACAGCAAATCCCCGCTCAAATCTTGTGGTGTCTCTCTGTTCCTTTTCAATTTTCCAACGAAGCCAAAAGAAACAAAGAGAAGGATGCAGCTGTTGGTTGTTTTCCGTCCAGCGCCTGGCATTAGAATGCCAGTAAATGCCATCTGTGCCATCTTGAGGTTCCTCTGGCCTCGGCCGGGCACCTCTGGTTTGGGCAGTAATACGCTAACACTTTCCGACTTAAGGCCAGATACTGGGTCTCTGGTCAGCATTTCTGTATTGGCCACTTCAGCATGCATGTGAAATTAATGGTTTAACTTGCCACCCACTGATATAGTAGCTCAACATTGCAGAGTGTTTCCAATTGTTTTGGGAAATGTGCGAATCACATATTTATCTACCACCAGCATAGATTAGCTTTGCACAGACAATTATCACAGTACAATGATCAGAATAGAGGAGAACGGGGATGGTTGGTCGATAAAGTATAATAGGGTAAATCCTGTATAGTGATTTATCCTACATAGTGTTATATAAAGCAAGTAGTGCATACACTTGTAGCTGTTATGGATCTTTGTAAGCCCTTGAGGCATGCGCACGAACCCCCCGTTATAAAAAAACCACAAGTGGGCTCCCCCAAAGTCCACGGTATAGTTTGAACGCTGCTAGTACCTCCGGGACAGGGTTAGTAGTCCACCACGGAGTCATTGAGATAAGACAGTTACTCATCTTATGAAATGACTACCTGATGAATTCATTCATTACGGCTGTTTAAGCTCTTTTTTTTAACATGTGTTTGCAAGGAGATATTTTCCCATCTTAAAAAAAAAAAAAGTGCTGTGGCTCGTCAAATGCAGCGTAAGCGAGGTGAGAACGTAAACATGCAGTATCGAAGACATTTTTATCATATGTTTACTTCTATTCTGGCCACACACATACTCACAATAATAAATGTGTTGAGATGATGTGGCCTGGACAACCAAAAACTCAGTGCTCAGTTGATTAAACACTGGAATTTTGTGCACTGCCCAGAAATGAGGTTAGCAAATGGCTTTTGCTGTTGCCAGTTTGGAATTGCACAAAGGAAAAGCAGGAGAACACACTGTCTGCAGTGCCCTGGCTTCTCCCCACATTTGATGAATGTCGGGGTACGTCACTCCCCGTCAAATGAGTTGCTGTTGACTCCAAATATAGCTAGACTGCAGCACACGAGAGGTAATTGCCAGGCTGAAATCAAAAGCCTTGTGCGGGCCTCATCATCGGGTCGCTCAGATTTCTGGTTTTTGAGACAGAAACGAGAGAGAATGTGAAGGAGAAATGGTCGGACAAGATGGAATTTAACAACATGCGACTCTATGCATCAAGTGTGTGGCTGCATTTCTCATTATGCGCTACTCCTTTTTCTGCTGTACTTTACAATATATTGTTCCTGCTTCAGTTCATGATACTGCACAGAACTGGGTTACTGGTGTTATTTTAGTGGTGCTATGATGCAGTGTTCCCTGAAATGTGCACTGTAGTCATTCTGTACTTTGCATGAATATTTATAGAATTTATATGAAGTAGTATAGTGTTAACAAAAACTATGACCTAAGATAAGACGAAAACAAGACGACGGCAATATCATTAAACACTAACAGTGACTATATCAACACGTAATATTATTGACGAAAAAAGATGAGACTAAAATGTAGTTTAAAACAATAAAAACTCACTCAATAAAAATGTCAAAAAAAAGTGTGGTCGAAAAAATATCTACCTACACTGGTTTTAATGCTTGGGGTTGCCAGATGGCACAAGTGCAAATCCCCCATCTTTTCAGTGCTTATAGGTGAAAGTGTTTCAAATGAAAACGGTCATGATCAGTAATCGCGTTTTATATTTTCAAGCAAAATAATTGTCATAATCAGTTTAACCATTATGCAGCATGACTAAAATATTATAACTTGACTAAATTCCCAGACTTTTACTCAATGAAATCATGACTAAACAAAACACAGGATAGGTTGACTAAGTAGTGTTTCGTTAACGAAAAAATATTTGTTGACAACATTTTTTTTTACATGAAAGATGAGACGAAGACAAGACTAAAACAACATCATTAAACGCTAACTATGACTATATCAACATGCAATATTCATACAAAATACATTTTTTTTTATTTAGTACTGACCTGAATAAGATATTTATCATAAAAGACAAAAAAAAAAAAAACAGCTGTGGATCATCCAGGTAACAACACATTAAGAATCAAGCATATGTAAACTTTTGAACGGGGTCATTTTTATAAATAATTTTCTTTTGTGGACTATATGTAAATATATTTTATGTTAAATATCTTATTCAGGTCAGTACTAAATAAAAAAATTAATGCATGCATTTTGTATGATCCCTCTTATTTTGGTAAAATAATTAGCATTTTGCAGATACTGCAAAGTTTATGTACATTTTTTTACCACAACTGTATATCCAAAATCTTTAAAAAAATGCCCCAATCAGAGCTTTCGTGCTTTCAGATGAAAGTGTCTCAAACAACAATAATGATCAGTAATTGCCATTATAATTTTGAGAAAATTCATTGTCATTTATTTGTTTAACCATAAGTTTTTTTAGTTTTTTTTTTTTTAGATCCAAGACTAAAACTTGACTAAATAAAAATAAATAAATACATACAAAATAGGATAGGTTGACTAAATTTGATAAAGAAGAAAGGGGACATTTGAAACTTGACAAAATTAACACTTAGTAGTAAGTGATCCTATTTATGAAATTTAAGGCCTGTATTTTGTTTGCAAAAGCTTGGCTTAGGAGCCATAGAGAAAATCTGGTTCATATCCTTTTTTTTTTTTTTTTTGCAAGCCTCAAGTTACTGTAGTTCCCCTTCTACTAGATCACAATAATCGCTTTTTATCTATATTTTAAACAGCTGCCTTTACAGTTGTCCTGTCATGAACTGGTAAAGGAATATCAAAAAGACGACAGCATACCACAAATGAAAACTTTGAAATTCTAACTTTAATGCATTTGATGTATCTCTTAGGACCACCAGATGTAGAGCAGGCATGCGAGCCCAGCGTCCGCACGTGGAGTCCGCATAACGGCATGGATCTAGGAATGGTGCCTCCTCCCTGCCCTCTGCAAGGCTGCATGTTACAGCTGGAGTTTGCATATCCGGTGGTCCCTGACTCCCTCACAGTGTGGGTGACCTTCTCCTCCCAGGAGGAAACCGTTCTGCCTGCCATCCACAATATCATCTTATTGACTGTCGGTGGCAACAACCTGTCTCTGGGTCCCAGCAATTTGTTCTGCGACACACCGCTGACCATCAAGCTGGATGTGCTTGAGAAGGTGTACGGCGTGCAGTTTTTCACCATGGAGCAACATTTGGAAATTGATGCTACTCTGCTCACGTCCAAACCCGACTGTCCGCTGTGTCGAGAATGTGAGCCGCTGCACTATAGGCTCCTGCGGCAGCCGCCATTTGTTCACGCACCCCAGGGCGTCATGCTGAGAGACTCAATGCGAAGATACATGGACAGGTGAGACTTTTGAATAAATAAATAAAATGAATAATGTGCTCTTCAAATTGCTCATTCACACGGTACCTAATGCAATGAATACACTGAACCTTATTGTAAAGATGCTAATACTTCTTTGAAATTTTTTTTTCGTTGTATTCCAGGTGAATTTTTTTATTGCAATTATGTTTTCAGGCTCTGGCTAGTGTTTAGATACTCTTGCTACCTCTTCCAGAAAAAAAATCGTATTGACTTTGTAACTTGTCTTCGATTTGGATCTGTTTTACCACAGAACAAAACTAACGTAATTCATAGTTGGAGTGCGAAATGTGCCTGGTCAGCATTAGGCACAGCAAATCCCCGCTCAAATCTTGTGGTGTCTCTCTGTTCCTTTTCAATTTTCCAACGAAGCCAAAAGAAACAAAGAGAAGGATGCAGCTGTTGGTTGTTTTCCGTCCAGCGCCTGGCATTAGAATGCCAGTAAATGCCATCTGTGCCATCTTGAGGTTCCTCTGGCCTCGGCCGGGCACCTCTGGTTTGGGCAGTAATACGCTAACACTTTCCGACTTAAGGCCAGATACTGGGTCTCTGGTCAGCATTTCTGTATTGGCCACTTCAGCATGCATGTGAAATTAATGGTTTAACTTGCCACCCACTGATATAGTAGCTCAACATTGCAGAGTGTTTCCAATTGTTTTGGGAAATGTGCGAATCACATATTTATCTACCACCAGCATAGATTAGCTTTGCACAGACAATTATCACAGTACAATGATCAGAATAGAGGAGAACGGGGATGGTTGTAAGAGGGGGCCAGTTGTAACACTGTTATTTGAAGCATCTACTGTAGAAATTATGTACAGGGATGAAAGGTTTTATAGGTTTAATGTGGTTTGCATATCCAGTATTTTCTTTTCTAGTAATTTCCAGTATTTCGGATTGATTGAGGTGTTTACATGAAGGATTTTCCAACTGAGCTACCAATTATTAACAGATTATTATCATATTATTATACTCTCAGAAAAAAGTACAAAAACTGCCACTGAGGCAGTACCCTTTCAAAAGGTAATAATATATATAATTTAGGTACAGATCTACCTTTTAAGGTACAAAAAGTCACCCTTTTGGGTTAAATAAAGTACAAAGATGTATATTTTAAGTACAGAAGTGTACCA